GGACTCCACAGTGAGCGAGGTCTATTACGAAGTTCACACATATCCCTACCGCTCTTTTGTTGCGGTTTAAACAAAGAACAACGTTTTAAAAAGAACGCATCTTTTTGTTTTGTATTCCAGGTAACATATATTACCCTTCCTCCAGTCTTGGTCTGCCCTACATCTGAGCTTATTAGAGTTGCTCTTCCGGTGTTTGGGGGAAAAAAAACTCGCACCACGCCTTCCAGTCATTAAAACTGTCTAACAAATGATCTCACACTCTATTCAACACGCACAGAAAACGTATATGTCAAGCAAGATTGACTTCAAGCCTTGCATACTATTCGGCAGGAAACACACATGTTAAGTAAGATTGACTTCAAGTCACGCACTCTATTCGGCACGCACGAAACGCATGTGTCAAGCAAGATTGCCTCAAGTCTCACACTCTATTCGTCACGCACACAAAACACACATGTTTAGTAAGGCTGACTTCAAGTCTCATACTCTAGTCGGCACGCACAGAAACGCACATGTTAAGTAAGATCGCTTCAAGTTTCGCACTATTTTCGGCGCGCACAGAAAACGTACATGTCAATTAACAATTGGTTCATACGTCAGCGTGCGTTCATCGAGATATGAAGCACACGGGAAGTTTGGAGGGCACGAAAGATGCGTAAGAGTTGCTCGAGATTGACCACAAGTCTTGGACTCTATTCGACACGCACGACAGAAAGCATATGTCAAGTAAAATTGCCTTAAGTCTCGCACTTTATTTGGCACGCACAGGAAACGCACATGTTAAGGGGGATTGACTTCAAGTCACGAACTCTATTCGGCACGCACATAAAACACTCAGAAATCTCACACGTCATGTGAGAATGACTTGTCGCACTCTATTCGGTGCGCTCAGAAAACGCACATGTCAGTAGAGGTTGACTTCAAGTCTCAGTCTCTATTCGGCACGCACAGAAAACGCACATATTAATTAAGATTGCCATAAGTCCCGTACCCTGTTGGGTACGCACAGAAAGTGCACATGTCAAGTAAGATTGACCTTAAGTCTCGCACTCTATTCGGTCTCTATTCAGACAGAAGATTTGTGAATTTTCTATCCTATTTTAAAACTCTCTCTCACTGGGAAGAATGAATTTCAGTCTCGCACTGCATTCGACACGGTGATATAACTCTTTCCTTTAACAATCTGTTACTGTTGTAATACGTCCGCTTATCTGACGGCTTCAAATAATGACGCTTGCCTTGCCTGACATGAGGTCACAGGTATTAAAGATTAAGTTCAAATGTTTGAGCTCATACATCGTCTTTTATTTTTTTTGAGAAAGAAGTTTTGTTGTCTTCACATTGTGTCTTAATGGGGCCGTTAGCCGTAAAACGGCTAAAAATTTAGTCGTTAGGCGTTAAAATCGAAAATTTTTAACCGTAAGTCACAAATAAGATTGACCGTAGAAAATTTTCATGTGTCAACAATTGGAAGATGTTAATCATCACTCGTAAAATACATTACCCCGTTGAGATCCTTTATATAGGGACATAGCGAAGGATTTGAAACTCAATCACCAAGTCATGAATGGTTCTGTCTCGTTATTGTAGGTATTTTGTCAGTGCTTTTGATAATCAGCAATCGCAGATTGTTTTTACCAAAACCGAGGATTTAGTAATTTTTGTTTGTAATCACACACAACCACTGCCGTGTGATTAATACGCATTCAATTTATGTACCCTTTATTCCTACCATTTTCACAACCTGGCATTCTTAAAGTTCTACCGTCACTGAAATAAATCAGGAACTGGAAAATATTACTAACCTAAAACCGATTACATTTTGGAAATGAGAGTAAGAAATTGCAGTCAACTAGAGAAATAAATATTGTCCTAAGAAGTGTTTGTAATTTGTAATTTAGTCAAGCGGATATTTTCTCAGTTGTCGCGCAGTCATTGGGTGCTTTGATATTCCTGTCGCAGTCTATCTTTTGATCAAAAGTGACCCTTGATGATTGTTAAAAATTGAATCTAATGGCGAACGCAGTTTGGACGAAGCTGTATCTTGCGTGACAAATATTGACTAACCACATAATTTTGGCTGCACAATCGGTCATAATTTATGCGTCCTTCTGTTTTCGGCACGGTGCTCGATTCTGTATTTTACAGCTCTTTAGGGCCCAAAAAAAACCTGGTTGTAAATTTTTTGAAATTTTTCTTTCTGTTGGAATTGGTTTGTACATATGATTAGCGGTACGCAAAAATTCGTGTCATAAGCACGTTAAGACCGGAAACAAGTAAACAAAGTGTCATTCAAAGTTGTTGCAATTGGTTATGAGATGCGGTAAAATGCACGCAACATAAACGGGTAGGTCAGTTTTTATACTTCAACATGGGAGTCGAGAACTAATCTCTCCTAACGTAAAAAAATTCAAGAGGACTAATGTGAGTCACGACCCACGAGTCACGACCCACGACCCAGTCAAACTCGTTGGCAGGGGGCTGGCAGGGGGCATTTCCGCTCGCCTAATCTCGCTTGAAATGTTGATAGAATCATTGTTACGAAGACTGATGTCACTGAGACGCCTGTCGTTTGCGCATATTTAGTTGCTGTTTGCAGTCCTCAATGATCACAACCTTCCGCCGGTAGGATCACATATAGTCGTCCTCTGGTCCAGTACTCGATCTTTTAAAAGGATCACCAAGAGGAGAATAACCATAAGCAGTTAAATCCACGGTAAGTCATTTGCGTTTGGTGATTCGGCCAACATAATGACACAATATGTAAAGATATTCATTTGTATCGTGAGAAAACTTCCAATACTAAAAACAATTATCTGAATTATTTCTTGTAATAAATGGTGGGAAACGAAATGCACAAAATGAAATCATCATGTTATAAACTTTTGGTTGTTTATCAGCATCGATTCACCCAACACTCCGTCCAAAGAGTTTTGCATGATCTTCAAACACGGCTTTGACTACACGTGGCAATGCCCGAGGACTTATTTCGACTTGATTTGATCTAATACACGCGAATTTTTAGGACGGTTTGGTCTTATCCCAAAAAGGGGAAAATTTCGATTCTTGAGAATTATTTTTAGTAAAAGGGAAGCTAGAGAAAGGCAAAATTGTCTGTGAACAACCCAATGAAGATTTCAGCATGAAATGTGATCGCATGGTCAGCTACAGTGTCAGAGATAACTCTGCGTGAACACAGTAACCAGTAGAAACACAGGCGGCCAAAGCGTTCTGTGTGTAATTTCGGGGTTTAAATCTAATATGCTGAATATGTACATTAACTGGAGTAGTAAAAGCCAAAATTACCCCAGTATGATTGATATTCAATCACTCTTTAGTTCACAATGGTTCACCAAAGTCGATATTCGATTCCCTTGATATTGCACGATCGAGGGTTATATTTAGATTGAATTTTAACCATTTGCGTGTGCCGTAAAAAAGTAAAATAATGAAAAACATTGTTATAAATGCGATAAATATATATAACGTGTAAACTCCTTACCTTTATTCCATATCTGAACTTGCCTCTTCCAGCCGTTTTTCAAATCATACACTGTACACTTAGGCCGCCCGTGGCCGAAGGGCTTTACGCTGAAAATTTACAAAATTTTAAACCTTGAAAATGGCGTTTCTAGTGTTTCGATTAGTTCACCTTACTCTTATTATCAGTGCATATTCCGTGTCACCGTTTATGGAAAGTATTGCCTTAACTGACAAGTAGCTAAAAAAAGCTCCATCTAAACGTTAAGGATTTAATGAAATTTAAAAATTCAGTTATTCAAGTTGCACTTGTTGAATACGGGAATGGTTATAGACTTCTGGGCGCTACGCACCTCGTTGATTATTTATCATCTTAACGCGCGCTTATGGAATAAACGTTAAATAAGTCTCTCCATGGGTTGCTATTTTTAATAACATACAGTTCCATTATTTTAGTCTCGAAGATATCTGCTTACTAGCCTGCAGAGCAGGCGTAATTTAGGCTAGCCAGCGCTTAGTAATTTCATAACGAATATTATGGCCGCCATCTTTGATTTTAATGGCCGGTCGAACAAACGATCGCGAGCTTTTAGCGTTAGCTCGCACTAACAGTAGGCTATCTGCTTACAAGTTATTCTATTTTAGTCACTTTCCAGGAATATGAATATTGATCATCCTCCCCTAGTGCGAACAAAACCGCCCGTCGAAAAACATCAAGCAGCAGTTCTGGCAGCTCGACTTTTCAACCTGCATATCACAGATTTGTCTTTTGTCAAAGAGCTTAATTCCTATGACGACAGAAACTTTTACATGCGAGGATCCTTGAATGGGCAACGTGAATGTCAAGAATACGTTCTCAAAATTATAAACGACGTAGAATCAAGGCATGAATATTTCCTAGAGCTTCAGTGTAACATCATGTTGTTTCTCCAAACACGTGGCTACAACTGCTCCTCCCCAGTCCTTTCAATTCTCAAGACGCATTTGGTAAGGTGCAAAATCCCACGAAAGCATCGAGCTGGCATTCTTCACGCGGAGCCTGGTCATGTTTCTGTGGTAACAGACAAAGATACGAATGGAATTTCTTTAGAAAATGGTACTAGCACTCTGTCTGTAACAAGTCTTAGAAATATCGTTGATGGAATTGAGATTTATGACGGGGAAGAATACTCTGAAGACGAATTCTTGGTCTGCGCTGTTCTCCTTTTGAACTTTGTACCGGGTAAATTACTGAATGAAATCCCGCTGAACACTCAACTGCTGTTTAATGCAGGAGTGGCCGTGGGCAGCATGGATCGAGACTTAAAGGTAAGAGAAAAGCAATAGCAAACAAAAAGCAAACAAAGGAAAAAATACCAGCAATGTGGAACAGACATCAGCTGTCCATCTCGACTCTCACTTAAGACTGTTGTCTCGTCTCCTTTCTTGCTTATGTTCAGCCTTTGCAGTTGTTTACTTTATTGTTGTTTACTTTCTATTAATTTTTTTAGATTTGTTCCAGGAAAACCAGATTGTCATTATTATCATTATCGTATTTACAGCTAGTGTTCTTTCTCAAAGTGGAATTCGTTCATAAAAGTTTGAGTTGCCGTTGCTGTTTTAGTACAAAACTAAAATAATTTTTTTAAAAAACGAACAGGATTTCGCCGGTGAAGAACTGAAGCGTCCAGAATTTAGCTGGGACCTGTCGAATGTTGATGAGAAAATTGAGCCTTGCCTCGAAGCTGTTACTGATCCTCATCATGTTGAAATAGTTCGAGAGGTTTGTGAAGCTTTTAGAAAGAATGTCAAACCAAAACTACATCTCTTACCCAAGCAAATCATCCACGGGGATCCAAATTACACCAATCTTGTATTTGCTCCCCGTAACAAGCATTGTTCACAGTATCCAGTGCAAGATATTGGTGTCATAGACTTTGGAGACCTCAACTACAGTTGTACAGTATTTGAAATTGCCATTTCCCTAATGTATATTTTGAACCTTGAAGGGGTTTTGAAGTGCGGGCGAACTCAAATGGCAGGACATTTCTTCGCGGGATATAGCTCGGTTCATCCCTTATCTAGCGTGGAGTTGGAAGTCTTGCCTGTGCTGGTAGCGTCAAGGTTTTGTCAGTCATTAGTATTTGGTGCTTATGTCAGTAAACTCGTTGATCCTGGAAACGAATATATCTTGGAAACAGCCAAAAACGGGTGGGAGAATTTAGAGGAATTTTGGAAGACACCAAAGGAAGAGGTGCTACAATTATGGATGGAAATGAGCGAAAACACACGACAAAACCAAGATGAACTTTGAGAGAGTCTGTACACATGGAGGAAATGCTATTAAGATGTTAACATAGGTTTCACTAAATGCAATGATAATTTTATCCTCAAAACAGTTTTCAAATGAATGTTTATAGTAATCCGGGATTGCATTGCTTTAAATTGGTTTTGCTCTGCTTTGCTCTGTGATTGGTCCAGAAAACTCGCGTTCCCCTCTCAACCAAGTAAATGCAAAACTAAAACCCAGTCGAGACTTGGTCACCCGCGTTTTCCCGCGCTTAGGGTATACGTAGTTTTGCCGTAATTTGATAGAATACCTGTAGCTAAATTAAATGCCACACGTTTCGATCACGCCACGAAATGAATGCACATTTAATTTCTTTGCCAGATAGATGAATATTTAGATTTAAAGATGTGTAGTTGTGATTCGACTGAAAATAGATATTTAATACAAATATCTAAGTACAAATATAACAACAATAACGACAAAGCTACATGAAATAGAAACGAGCTTACAGTTTGTGGTGCAACCAAGTCCAGCCGTAAAACTCTTTAAAAAAAAGCGGAGCAACTGCAGAATACCCTGCCACTTTGGTCCACCTCATTTACATGTGTCGAGAGGCTTTGAAGATCGAGGCATAACACAATAAACGTTATTCTTATTCAATGACATGTAAATGAGCTTAGCCACAAAAGCAACACGCGAAAATTCTGATGAGAAATGAATCGCTACCGCCTTCTGTAATTCCTACATAACCTCACGCGAAGCCGCGAACTTAATGTTAATTGAGTAGAAACAGAACATCACAATAGTAGTTCAATAGAAAGAAAACAATTCAAAATCATTTCGCAATTGCTTTACAATAAATAGAAATGTAAATTCTAGTTGCTTCAATGGTCATTAAAAATGCAAATATTTGTCGTGGAATCTTGTGATAGCATGGCAAGGTGCAATGACCCGTGTTAAACAATTTCGATCAATCGAGAAATTTCGTCAACTGTGCATTCTCCAAACTGACAAAATCATAGTTCGTTCACATAACTTTCAGAAGAAAGATGTTGTCACAAAACCTAAAAAACCTTATTTCTTTAAAATAAAAAGGTACTTTCAATTTGTGAAAGGGCAAAACCGTTTTGCGATATTGATCTAACTAATTTTAGTAATGCTGAAACCTTTCAAAAGGTCGTGTTGGCTGTATTTGGCTGTATTTGTATACCTTCTTGTGATACTTTTGTCGAGCGCGAAAATGTTAGCTTATAAATCGTGGTTACACTAGCCCTTTACTCATGGGTAAATAGCGTTTGCCCACGGGCAAGGACGTTTTTGTGTGTAACCGCTTAACTGCCCTAGGGTTGTTTCCATGGAAACATCAAAAGAACAAAAGAACTTCCATGACAGTTCCTGAACTGCAAAGTACGGTTTATCTGCTCCCTGAGGTGGCTTGGCCAATCATAAAGCAGAATGTAGCTAATACAGGAAATCGCCTCCAGTGTTTTGAGGTGACCTCCGATGCGCTTGGCTAATTTCGCGCCTTCTTCGGTGTCTTCTCGCAAAAAAATGCTGGACTGTCATATTTATGGAGTACTGTTGTATGATAAGAAGGAGACTGGAATTAAGCTTAATTGATCTCGATTTGTAACATCCATGTTGCTCTGTACGTTTCCTGTCAATTTGTCAGGTCAGTGAACTAATATCTAATTATATTTGACCCTGAGGGGAGTCTTATACTGTGTAACCGTACATCCCCAAGGGTAACATGAAACCTGAGCTTAACCAAACCCATGCATTTACCCTCCGTAAGGCCCCAAACCCAAGGTGTGTGTAACCACCACTATAGCAAGGTTATCCCGTATTTTAGCAACACAATAGGTACAAAATACAATTTAAGGTCTCCGTGTCTTGAGGATATCATCTTACAGGACTCTCTCTTCTAATCATAATCATCCTTCCGTAGTACGAACAAAACCAGCCGTCGCAAAACATCAAGCAGAAGTTCCGGCAGCTCAACTTTTCAACCTGCACATCACAGATTTGTCTTTTTTCAAAGAACTAGATGCTTACGTGGACAGAAACTTTTACATGCGGGGATCCCTGCCTGGGCTACCTGGATGTCGAGAGTTCGTTCTCAAAATTTTAAATGACGTAGAAACCAGGAACGAATAATTTATAGAGATTCAGTGTAGAACATGGGTACATATGCTCCACCCCAGTCAAGTCCATTCTCAAGACACACTTTGTAAAGTGCAAAAACCCCAGAATCTACCAACCTAGCATTGCTCACTCAGGGCCTGTTCATGTTTCCATAGCAACAGACCAAGATAGTAATGGTATCTCTTTGGAGACCGGTAATAGTCCTCTAACCATTAAAAATCTTAGAAACCTCGTTCATGGAATAGAGATTTATAACAGCGATGAATACTTTAAAGAGGAATTCCTGATGTATGCTGTTTTCCTTTTGAATTTGTACTAGGTGAAGTATTGAATGAAATACCGCTGAACACTCAACTGCTGTTTACTGCAGGAAAGGTCGTGGGCAGCATGGATCGGAATTTAAAGGTAGGAGAAAATAGACACCTTATTGATATTTCAAAGGAATCACAAACAAACAAAAAAACTAAATAAGCCTAAACTAAGCACTATTAACCTTTAAGCTAAAAGTGACTAGAGTATAATTTTTCCTTACAATATCACCCCTGAATCAAACATTAAGGTCATGATAATGACGAAAATGATCACCAACAAAAGAAGCTCTTGATCTTAAACAAATTCTCCTCGTGAACACCTTAGGAAAAGTATAGAGAACAGTTTGGAGATTTTGCATTGTGGGTGTGAAGGGTTAATATTCTCGAACGATACTCATGGGTGATAAAAAAAATTGTTAAGCTTGAAGGCAACATAAATTAGAGGTTCGACTTAGTGCGGCGCGGACTTTTTTAATTTATAAGCGCCATGCTGACTAGATCCAACAAGATGAAAACAGCTATCAGAGGTTCCTCTCGGTCTTCATTCAGAGTGTTTGTGCTACCGTCATCGGGTTAACTTTTCTACTTATGATCAGCCTCTGCAGTTTACCGTTGTTTATGCCACTTTTTCTGTTCTATGTGCTCAAGGAAAATCAGATTACTCTCATTCTCGTTATTGCCATTGCCGTTATGATCATTTGAGCAATTCATTTCCAATTGAATGACGAAAGCAATCCGATACTGCTTTAGTTATGCTTAACCTCACTCTGTGATTGGTCCAGAAAAGTCGCGCCACTGGCCACTTTAGCAACCAATCAAATACTGAACTAAAGCGGTCCTCCGCGTTTCCCGCGCATAATTAGGCAGTTTGGTTGTGTTTACTTCGAGTTGTCATTGGCCTTTAGGTATTGTTCCTTCCTCTGATTGGCCGTTTTGATAACTTTGGTTTTGGTTTTCAACAATCAATCGAAGAGCAGTCTGTCAGTATTAATACTCATAGCAGGTAATTTAGTGTTAACAACTGAGTTGAAAGCGTAAATTAGCCACCGTAAAGGGTAAAAAAGCTGACGTTTCGAGCGTTAGCCCTTCGTCAATCGCTCTGACGAAGGGCTAACGCTCGAAACGTCAGCTTTTTTACCCTTTACGGTGGCTAATTTACGTTTTCAACTCAGTTGTTAACACTAAATTACCTGCTATACTCTCACACCGACGCAGCACCACAGTTTCTTTAGAAACTTGCCCCTTTATTAATACTCATAGTCACATAAGCCGATATATGTTTAAGTTGCCGATGCTGTCTTAATAAAATCTTACATCATCTTTTTATTAAAACAACTAGGATTTCTTCTATGCAAAGTTGGAGCGTCCAGACTTTAGCTGGGACTTGTCGAGAGTTGATGAGAAAATTGAACCTTGCCTTAAAACTGTTACTAATCCTCATCGTGTTGAAATGGTTCGAGAGGTTTGTGAAGCTTTTAGAAAGAATGTGAAACCAAAACTACATCTCTTACCCAAGCAAATCATCGACGGGGATCCAAATTACACCAATCTAGTATTTGCTTCCCGTAATAAGCATTTTTCTCAGTATTCGGTGCAAGATATTGCTTTCATAGACTTAGCTTTGGACACTCAAACTACAGTTATACAGTATTTGATCTTGCAATTCCTCCGATGTTCCTTGTGAATGTTGAAAGGGTTTTAACCTGCGGGCGAAGTCAGATGGCGGGACTCTTTTTCGCGGGATATCACTCGGTTCATCCCTTATCTAGCGAGGAGTTGGAAGTCTTGCCTGTGCTGGTAGCGCCAAGGTTTTGTCAATCATTACTATGTGGCGCTTTTATCAGCAAACACGTTGATCCTGGAAATGAATATATCTTAGAAACAACCAAAAACGGGTGGAAAGTGTTTGAAGAATTTTGGACGACACCAGAGGAAGAGGTGCTACAATTATGAATGGAAATGAACCGAAACAAAGACAAAACCAAAATAGACTTTGAAAGTGTTGGTATACATAGTGGAGATGTCATTAAGATATTAACATGAATTTTACTAAATGTCATATAATGGTGTTCTGAATGTAGTAACAGAACAATAGCTTAGGTTTTAACGCAATTAAGTAGATGAAGTCTTCAATGAAGTACTTATAATTTGCTCATCTCGGTATAACTTTAGTTCTCTTTAGCCCTCAATATTATTTCAACACTTAGCAATTTACTCGAAACAGCATTCTCCACAGACCCCCAAGCGCATATTTATGCTGCTTAATCCTGATCAGTGGTGGGGGTCTGGGTACAAGCGAACCGCTTTCATGGCTTTTATGATGATGATTTTTTTTTTTCATTTTTCTTTCTTTGCCTTTGCCCCAAAAAATTTATACATAGTCGGTCGTGGAATAACGCTCGGCTCTCTAACTAACAAATCATGTACTAAAGAAGAAAAAAAAAAACGAAAAAAGAACAAAAAAACATAGCAACGTAAGCAACGATCAGTTGAAAAAAATACAGAAAAAGCTTGACAGCAAACCAACTGCTCACAATTAAAAGTATTAATCCTGCATTATCCTGCAAATATTTATGTTGATGTGTGAACTTATTACTTAAGACTAGACAAGAAATCGTCACTTTGTCAGATACAATCAAGGAATTACATTTGCAGCATGGGTGTTGTGAGCGGTAAGGCATGGCGAAAACAAACCAGCAAAGTAATTAAGTTCAAACATTTTTGTTTTAATCAACGGATCTCCTTTTTACTAAATTTAAAATTTTTTTGTTTATTTATTTTCTCTAAATGCCGTAGCCAGAAGTGGGAGAAAAAGAAGCAAATTGCTTAGGACTGAAATTGAAAATCTGAGCCCCCATTTATTTTACGTGCCATGAGATTCTCAAATCTGCTAATTTTTACGTGTTTCGTTTTGGTAATTTAACAGGAGAAGATCTAATAAAATTTAAAATATTTCATACAAAAAGTAGACAATTCGTGCGTTTGTAAGACAATGACAATAACTAGCCCTCGGGGTTTATAAACTTGAATTATAACCAGATGCTTTATTTAAAACGAATCTGGAACATGTCGAAGTCCTCCCACTTGCATGGAACGTGAATCTTTCGTCATAAAGAGCTTCTTATCATCGTTATCATTAAGATTGCGGAAAGAAGTTTACACTACCATCGAAACAAAATTTATATGCGTAAAAATAAAGGTTACGAAGAGCGTAGGAAGCTAAGACACTTATTTCAAGTTAAATACCATTTTAAAGTTTTGACCCTTCTGTGCTTAATTTCCAAAAAAGAAGTGTTTTGGAAAATACGCTGCTGTAAATTAAACCAACTTCGCACTGTGGAGACAAACAACTTCAATTTGGATAAAAAAAAAGGCTCAATAATTCAATTTGCCACTTAGGAACAATTGGTTTTGCTTTTTGACTTACCAAACAACCACTTTGCTTGGATTCCCAATTTCCATTTTTCATTATGTCAGTTTCAGATGATTTATTAAAGAAAAGACTGTCCACAGCAAATATTTCGCTTCACCTGTTTCCGCCTCCTTTCTGATAATCCCGTATTTCATCTAAAAAGGTAAATACGAGGCTGATAAGCAGGCGAAACAAGACAGTGTTGCCATAGACGACCCTCGAGCGCGGCAGGAAACAGAAAGGACCTGCTGATATAGATATGTCACCTATAAAACTGACAGAAAAAAATTTGCAAGAAGGAGTGCCTCGCAGTCTTCGCAGAAAATATGGAGCTCAACACTACGAACTCAACCTCGGCGAATACTGCGGAAGCACCTCCGACTTTGAAGCACGGTGCGAAAGCTGCTTTTCTCTACTATATCTATTTAACGAGAGGTGTTCTCGCCATCAGCATGGCAGTGATCACATCATTCTCAAATGGCCTTGTGATATTTTTAGTTCTAAGAGATCCAAAGAAAAATCTTCGTTCATCTCCAACATGTCTTCTTGTAGCAAGCCTTGCTCTGGTGGATTTAGCAGTCGGCTGCGGCCTGGAGCCAACGGATGCATTCTATAGTCTTGCCATTGCAAATAGAAAGAAGCCCAGTTTAGATCGAAAAGACTTGCAGAGTGCTGCCGCGTTTCTTCTCTTGTCCTCGACAGTTCTGGTGATGCTGATAACTTTCGACCGACACACAGCAGTATCTCGACCCATTCAGTACCCTTACAGCATCACAAAGAAAAGAATCACCATTAGCGTTGTGTTAGTCTGGGTCTATTGTGCGATTCTTATAGTAGCAATACGCCGCTGGGGAAAAGAACTCAGGAACATTCTTTTTTGTGCTCATATAGACTTGGTTTTGTTCCTTACCACTGGCCTTTTCTGCAGGATTGTCTACGTGCTACGACAACAAACAAACATGTTAAAACGGCTAAGTGTGAGCTTGAACGGTACTTTTGTGGTTCAAGCGTCGGCTCGTGAACGGAAGGTAACGCTCACACTCGCTACTATGCTCGTGGTATTCCTATTCTGTACCATGCCCTGGTTTATCATGATGCAGATCTATGATTACTGCCAAATTTGCCAGAAATACTGGTGGATCATGAAGCTCCTGTTTATTCTCTTCGAAGCGAACTGCGCTATCAACCCGTTCTTGTGCACATTCCGTCTGCCGCGCTACAGAGCGGCGCTGCGATTGACTCTGACGCAGTGGGGGTTTTCACGCGTGATTTGTCAATCTTCGCAGCGAGCCAGGCGTGCGTATGTACTCAAGCAAAAACGCTTGAGTAGTGGAAATCATTTATGCGGAAAGAAGAGTCTACAAATTCAAGTTTTGCTTTGCCGCCGGTTATGACTCACTATGAACAAAATGCTTACAAAGATTAAAACCAACCTGAAATACAATTATGAGGGTAATTTCAAACCATTAAAAAGAAGTTAATTTCGTAGTTTTTGAGCTCTCTATGTAAAAAGAAATTTAGTTATCAAATGGAAGTTTAGAGCGTTTGTGATAGGAAACAAAGTGAGATCATCATTCAGCTGTTGGTTATTTAGATATAAAATATGCAAATGTTTTGTGATAATACAAATAATAATAATAAAAGTTACAATGTTTTTATGCGCGCATTTCAAGTCTGTGTGGGCTTTCATGTCATCAATAAAATCAATTGTCAACACAAAATATCTAAAACACGAGATTAGTAAAAACATATCCAACAATTCGCTTAGTTTAAAGAAAAAACTTCCAAATTAAAAATGTTTTTAAGGGCGGCTTTGAAAGACGAAACCGAAATAGCACTTTTAAGAGAATTGGGGAGAGTATTCCATAATGTCGGTGCATAGAAGGAAAACGCATGTGCTTCAGAGAGAGAGGTAAATAAATAAAAGCTGGCTTTTTTCAAAAGAAAGGAAAGGCGTTTATTAAATGATACTGCCCTATCCTCAGATTTAAAAATCTGCTCTATTCGGATCGAGAAGCCTGTCTCTTTGATTTGTGGACATGTTCGTCTGTAGAGTTTTCGGAACCCCAACTGACATATTTCACAGTTTCCGGGTTGAAAATAATTACTGTGGGTGACCCAAGATAGTAATTAACTTCTCCTACAAGGAAGTGGTTTCAACAAAACACAAATTCAGAAATTGCAAAAAGATATTTCCAAGGATTTCGGACAGAAATAAGCATAAAATTTAATTTTTCCTCATTAAAATAATCCCAGATCTCGAGAGACAGTTTTGTAAGCAAAATATTTCTCTAAAACCTTGAAAATAATTCTTAATCTTGGGGCTCAGGATTGATTCCAAACTTCGTAATAAAAAATCTGAACATTTTGTATTACTATGAGTATGAGGGCAAGAACATTTTTACATGTAGAATCTATACGTTATCACCGTGAAGAAAAAAATGAAAACTGTGATAAACCAACATACAGACACGTCAGGACAAGGCTCATAGCAGTCTGACAGCTCCTTTCAGGAAATTGGTAGACCTTAGTGTCATTGGAAAACAATGATATAAGAAGCTGTTAAATGGAAAAGGTAAAACTTTGTCTTGCTGCCGGAAGCACCCCCTATGTATTAAAAATGATCGAATCAAGTTGAAACCATTTCCAAGGAATCACAAAAACCTGTGAATTGGTGTTTGGAAATAACAAAGAAAATTGGTGTTACCATAAGTAATCTTTTTTTCTTCGCACTCTCGACTTCCTGTAGGTTAGAATGATTTTAGGTAATTATTGTTACTCTCCTGAAAAAAAAAAAAACCCTCTCTGCTTTTTGAAAATTAACTTTCACTCAAATCATGAAAGTCAACGTTCCATATTTTACATAACAATTGACGATCATGACCTTAGATCGTTCATTGATTATACCAAACCTCGCCGATGCTTATTCAAACAGGTATGAATTACACAAAGATTGCGCCTTTTCAGGTTTCAGTCAATAAAATAGGCGCCATTAGTTCGCCGGAACTGACAAACACCGAAACATTTTTGAAATAAGAGTTTGTTACGCAGTTGCAGTCAAACTCAAAGTGCAGAATGAAATTTAAGAACAGATCTTCATTTCTGACTCAATTTAAATTCAATTCTAGTTGCATGGGCACTGTTGACTCTAAATCAGTTCATTGGAATTAGCTGTCTAGTCACGTTCGTTCTTCGTAGATGTAAAGCAAAACGGGTGAGATTACCATGGATTACATTCGCTCAATTTGGCTTTTCAGGCTATGGTACAATGGCAGACTGCTTCAGAATCAATCTCCTTAGTATCGAATCAGAATTTCATGAAGAGAAAACCACATTTTCAAGCAAGAGGAGATCGTCGACTTTCATGGTCATTCGGCTTGGTTGATCAATTAAAGTAACTTTTAATTTGAGTACGATACCTGATATTGACAAATGTTTCTTTTACTATACGTCAAATCATAGAGGAGAAAAAAAAATGGCTTTGAAGATCACTAACTGATAGATGAAAAGAGCAAGGTCAAAAAGAGATCTGCTCAATTAGATTACAGATCGTTCCAAAGCGTAAGAAAAAGGCTATTACACTTAGTAATCCCACGGGAAATGTCCCAAACTGGTGAAAATCCCAATCTCGTTTTCTTCAAGAACCTTGAAGAGAAATTCTTCATATTTCCGTCACTGATAGAGAGAAAAGCTAGTTAATAAACTCATCCCTTCTCATACAAAATGCTACCTTTTCATCCCTCCCGAACAGCTATATAACCACCTAAGTTTTCAAAAATACGAAAAAAAAATTACCTTTGCCACCATCGACAAAAAAAAATAAAGATTCTTAAAACTGATAAAGCTCTCCAGAACACAACACAAATATTCGATCAAATAAAGCCATGGTCCACGCCAGTGAGCCGCAATTCAAGCAATTGCAGAAAAGATGTCTGAAAAAATGTTCAGGCTTGGACGGGATTTGAACTCAGGCCTCCCAGGTTATAGTTGGACGCATGCTACAAACAACTGAGCCATGGGCTGGGAGCAAGACACAAATATTAGAAATACGTGCCCTGTTTTCAGCCGTCAATCCTTAAGATCGCCAGCATTGTTCAATGTTCGTGAGGGCGTCCTATGTCTAGTACATGTGGAAACCTTGAAACAGGTCATAGGGGTATGCATTCCTACTCGTCTGCAGTACCAAAACAAAAATAAACTCACTAATTTTAAGCCTTGATGAATCGATAATGGGGACGACGACTGGTACCAGGACGTGGCAAAACAAGAGATCTAAAGGGCAGACGTGCGTTTTCAAATCGAATTTTATATATTCCTTAGCCGTCCTCTGCAAAACAATAATAACGTTAAGTCATCAAAATTTACGGGGTTTGTGAACACAAACCCCAACGGCAGTTATTTGAGTTACCATTTGGAACTCACATACGTTATGCTGAAGCTGAGTTGTGGGGCCATAGGAGATGGTAAACACACTCAGCCATTTGCGAAATTCTCAATAAAAATGTAAATTTGTGTTTTGATCGGCGTTGCCGTCGTGACTGTTTAGAATTCCTTTTTCTTTTAATCGAAGCGTTTTCGTGTATAGTATGATTTTCATACATTCAAAAACCTTTAAAACGCTTTCGGTAAAACAAAACTTGAACTGGAAGCCAGTCTTCCTTTTCTGCCCCCTCGGTTTCTGCAGTTGGCGTCTCGCCTTTGAAGCTGATATTCTTGCCTTGCGGGACAAGTTGACCTAAAGCAGCGACGAAAAAATTCGAATCGCAATAGGGCCAACTTTACACTTGTCTTGTAAGGAGGCATCCGCAGTGTACACAAGAACGGATTGAAAGCGCAGTTAGCTTGGAACAAAATAAACAGCAACTTCATGATCCACCAATTCTTTTTGCAAATATCACAATAGTCAAAAATCTGCATCATGATAAACCAGGGCATAGTACATACAAGGAATATCACAAGCATGAGTAATAGTGTCATGGTTATTTTACGCTCGCGTTCTGAGGCTCGAACGACGAAGATGTCATCCGAGGACCTGCTAAATCTTTTTAAGCTACTCGTCTGCTTACGCAGCAAGTACACAATGTTACAGAAAAGCACCGTTATAACCAACACGACTACATCGACATGAACACAGAAAATTTCATTCCTGAACTTTTCGCCCCACTGTCTTATACCAATGATTAGCAGGGCGCAGTAGATCCATACCATAACCACGCTTATGCAGACTCTCCTTTTGGTGATTCTGTGAGGGTAATGAATGGGTCGAGATATCGCCGTGTAACGATCAAACGTTATTAGCAAAAGTAGAAGCATCGAGCAGAGGAGAAAATAAGCTGCAGCGCTTTGCAAGTCTTTTCTTCTTATGGAGTGCTGCCGTCCAAAAGCTATGGCAAGGTTGTAGTAGGCATCAGTGGGTTCCAGGAAGCCTCCCACCATGAAGTCTACTAGAGCCAGACTCGCAACAAGAAGACAGCTCGGAGAAGAACGAAGACATCTCTTTGGATCCGTCAGAAACAGAAACATTACAAGACCATTCGAGAAAGATGTAATCAACGCCATGGGTATGGCGATTATTCCTCTTGTCAAATAAACTTTTAAAATTAACTCGGGCAGTTCTCGGTGTTTCAGAGTCGATGGTGCCTCATTTGTGGTATTTATCACCAGTGTATCCGTGCCGTTCATATCGATACGTACTTGACTCGTTTTGTTCACCTCACGCTTTATCGAAACGTTTGTTTGGTTTCCTTTTTAGCAGCACCCACTCTTGAGTGAAATTTCGAACCAATGAACTCTCCAGCTGCGAATCCTAATCAGCAACCAACATAGGTATTGAGAGATTCGAACAAGCAGAGTAGACAAACAAAGACAGACTGTTAAAACGTGCAAGTTTCAACTGTTCCGCAACATTCCAATTTCAAGGGCACGTCCTTGACGCGTCTCGAAACTCTACCCGATTGCCCTTGACCGGGTGAAAACGAATTATTCAAAGTTTTCAGCAAGGAAAGAAAACAAAACACTTAAAAATGCATTAGCAGTTATAGATAGCAGATTTATGGAACTGAAGGGCAAGTAGTTAATATTTGCGCCCAGTGTTAATTTTTATGCTGGGATTCACTGGGACAAAAAAGGGATCGAATGATTTAATCATTCAGGTCATAGTTGATAGACGAAGATAAAGCTGAAGACGAAATCACTCAAAAACAAGAACAAATTGACATTAGCTGTCGTGCGTTTGTTTGAGCCGCGTTATCATTTCGCTAACCTGTTAAAAATTGTTGCTGGGTCCGCTGAAACCAACACTAGTGATATTTATTCTTGTTACATCAGGTTTCGCTGAAGGTTTTAGCAAAGTATCTCACGTATTTAGGATGTCATGTTCCTCCCATAGAAATGCCGCCAACGTGCGTCTCCTCATTGTTAACCCTTTACACCTAAACATCAGTATATGTTATCTCCACATTGTTCTCTATACATTTCCTATGGTACTGACAAAGAGAATTTGTTTAACAATCAAGAGCGTCTTAAATTGGTGATCATTTCCTTTATTCTCATGACCTCAATGTTTGTTTTAGGTGGTGATGCTGATAGGGAAAATAGTTAGTAATCACTCCTAAGGGTTACGTTACACTCAGTCAAAGAAAGAACTTTCTTTGAAGTGACACAGGTTTTAAGTTAATACCAACTTACTTCGGCACAAACAAAGCAAATAAAAAAAAATAGGGTCATTTCATCGTAACCTTTTACTTATATAGAGCGAAGTGTGTTTCATAGCCTTACAGGCCGGCCTTCATCATTAGCGCTTCTGCGCAAGCGTTTCTTCACTCGCGGGAAATTATAAGGCCTCGAGGGCGGGGAACCGTGCGTCTCGCAGTGCCAATGCGATGATGAGGCCAGGAAGTTCAACTACATAACTCGTGTACTTTACAGCTTGTGAGGTAAAGATTTCGAAGGTCACGCGCAACTGGATAGAAGGACTGTGCTGCACCCACAGTTAAGGTCCAAGATGCCGTGATAAACAGTGGAGCCTCCGCTCAAAGAAAACAAGGCTAGAAAAAAAGTGTGTCCGCAAATGATAACTTTTCTCTATCATAGGTCCCTCAACTACAACCCGGCATAATTTGTAATTTGTTTCTTCGGCTAGGATCCCTGCAGAGGGAGCTAGAAATCCACAATTTACACGAGCTCAGGTTACGGATCTGCACAAACGTTCGGGTTGCCGGGGCAACCTTTCTTCCAACCAGAATCCAAAAGCGTTAGCCGTAAAGATGACAAAGAAACCTTTTACTAAGTCGTTTCAACTGAATAGTGTAGAGACAAGAAAAAGCAACATGCCGTGACATGTAGACAGGAACAACTAAACAAACACGGTAGTTTGAGCTAAGTGTAAACCATGGGGCCAATTTAAGTTGGAAAGAAATGAATAAAATCCAACCTTACGCGTTAAGTTGTCGTATGTCCTTAACAAGGGTTACCTGGTGATATGGTAAATCTCCCCTACGTTTTTCCCATGAGTACTTGCAAACATTTGAATAAAATAGGGTCACCATTCACGTGCTAAGTATTCCAGGGTCTTGCACGAAGGCCTTGAAGGTAACGTATGCAATAGTTCACGAAGTAATAGCAAGGAATCTTTATCCTTCCTGACCACAGTCTTATTTTCCTTGAATAGAGCTACCCCAAAATAGTTGAGATGTCCTAAATTGAAACTTTCAACCGCTAAGGACCGAGCGGAATTTATCAAAAATGATAACGGAATGTGTGAGATTCAATTGACTAGAAGGAGTATCTTATCTTGCGCAAATGTAGGATCGGCGACGAAAAAAAATGCTTGAATTTAGACATGGGTTCAATATAATGTTTTTCTTTCAAAAATCTGCAAGCACTGTTCTTCGTAACCCAGAAATGTACTGAAAACTCAACAAGTTCCTCAAACTTTCTCGGTTTTCCCTCTGTCTGTTTTTAACAATTATGGTGTACTATGCGAAAAGAAATATGGCAACATGAAATTCCATTTGCAAGTGCTTCTCTACGAGCATGACCTTACTAATAAACTAGAACACTACCACTCATTAAGATCGTGGAAGCCATGCGGAGAATGACTGGCTAAAAAAAAAAAAAAAGATTGCTCGTTAAATTTGTAACTTATTTACTATTTATCGCTTCTCGTAATCCTTCAAATACTGACTGCATTCTTAAGCGTAGGGAAGAAACAAAAACTTTCACCATTTCTTTCAGCCTTAATCAAAGAATCGATAATGGTCTATGGAGATTTCACCCTGACAATTAAAAAAACAACTTATCACTGCAGAGATACAAAGCTCTTAGACCGTTATTCAGGAATAGCTAATCAATCTCCATGTCTGCGTCAGGTTTGGTTTCTTCGCCACCTTCCTGATTTTGGTGCTCATCTGGTTTCTCCACATTTTCTCCTTCCTGGTCCATTTTCTCTTCCGGCGTCGAGTCTCCCGTCCCCTCTTCTTTCTTCTCTTCTTCCTTTGGGGGAGGCGGTGGTTCGGCTTTGGGTTTTGGTTTCGCTTTGTTCAAAATAGTGTAGCACGTATCTTCTAACAGCTAAAAAGAATACACAAAGCCAAAGAGATTTTAAAGTTGTTTGTTAGGGTAAATGTAATTAAGGCTACAAACGAAAAACAAAAGATTCTCTTCAGTTCACCCTTAATTTCTGCACTCGAGCCCAGAGCCCCACACAGCTGGAGCTTATCCAGGTTTCCTTAGCATGAAGCGACTAAGAGTATCACTTTACCAAATTTACCAAAAATGTAAAACTAAATGAAACAAAAATCAACACTCAAGCTCAAAAAAGACGGAAATCGAGTGATGGATACCTTTTTTTCGGAGAGTATGACCGAGGCATACACAGCCGGATCTTGATGATCAGCGAGTTTGCTCTGTGCATTCCACTTGTTCTGTAACCATTTTTCCTTATCTGCAACAGCCACCTCCACCTTTTTTATTTCTTCTGCTTCGATATGATCGTACTTTTCATCCTGTATGTTGAAGGAAAGACGAAACTGAGAGAAAACTCTCTGTCTTTTGGACTAGCTCACTTACGAAAACGGCTGGGATTCAAATCCTCGTTGGGAAATTAGCCTGTGATCGGGGTCTCACTGTGGCAAGTAAAGCGAAGCGGCAAGAGCCTTGCAAGAATTTCTCGCTACTGGAGACTACTCGTAGTAAGCTACGTGGAAAGCAGAAGTATTTTGTCCTACATCAGTGATAAACGTGTACCATTTTCTCCAATTCTATACTACAACCTTTAGTGAAATCACTTGCCCGCCGAGAGGCGCCAATTCGAATTTTGCACAAATCGAATCAACTGATCGGCACATGCGCTTAGGCGCGTTGATCAATGGCGTGTTTTAAACTCTCACATCGATCAACCTTTCCAATTAATAAAACACAATAAATTCGGCCTAGTCAGGAGGGTGTTCGGTTGAATGGTTTCCCCTCACGTAGTCACTATGGCTTACAATCCCTAGATGGCCTTATTTTCACTACTGCTCAAGTAGTGCTTGTTGGCTCGGTTGGTGGAGCGTTGCACCGGTGTCGCAGAGGTCATGGGTTCGAATCCCTTACAGGCCTGAATTTTTTTCAGACCTTATTTTCACTACTGCTCAAGTAGTGTTCATTACTGCGAAGATCGCTTTCATTCAAATCCCTAGATCATTGTTTTCCTCTGAAAACGTTACCTTCTGAGCGCAAAGCTCAAGAATTTTCCTGATTTGCTGGATACTCTTTCCAAGTTCATCAAATGCAGCTGGTCTTTTGGTAGCCTCTGATAAGCGCGTCTCTACCGGGTCTCCCACTTTCTGTACAAAATATTGAAAGCAATGAGTAATCAGTATATTGGAAGGCTAACTCTGTAATGAAAACATAGGACTCCACGACAATGAAGTTTTCCCCTTTCAACGTGTTTCACATTAAAAGACTTCTGATATTACCAGAGGTTTCAAAACTTTTTCCGTAGGCGGCTGTGCCGTGAGGCGAAACCTAAACACGCGAGCCTGCTCGGTTAACCCTTTTTCTCCATGAGAGATCACGGAAAAGAAGTGGTTAATCCCACAATTTAATACACATTTAAAATGAAACCGACGAAGAAGGAAAAAACATCAACTAGTTCCTTGAGAAATGTTACTTTAGAATACAGTGAGGATTATTGGTACCGACATCTAACAAGTAAAAAGGTGTACTTTGTGGATCAGCTCACGAAACGGTGACCGCAGTGGGATTACTGTCCTCTCGCAAAGCAACAGAAGGTGTGCATTTCATCCTTCATAAACGGTTCATATTAGTTTACCTTCAACTCAGCGAGCTTGTCTTGGTAAACTTTCTTGGATTGGTTTTCACCCTCTTCATAGAGCCAGTCTTCTGTTAGCGACAGCAACTCCGAGAACTTCTCCCTTGCCTTCGAAGGAAAGTATCAGGAACCATCATGTACCTGCTCATTCTTGGCAGATTTTGTTTTCCTTATTTTTCCCCAGCCTACATATTATAGTTGTTGCCATGTTTTCAAAAACTTCCTTCTAAAAGATGCCCCACGAAATTTTTACGCAAGAGTGTATAATCTTCGCAGCAAATAAGAGAAGGTATCTACAAGAAAGCGCTGAATTATCAAATTGGAATCGAATGCCGCAAGTAATCTAAGTGATCCGAGATTGATTTTTTTTTGCTTTATCTCGCTCTGGAAATGGGCCAGAAAACTCGCGTCACTTTCTCGACCAATCAGATGCAAAGCTTACTCGCAACTCGGTCACCCGCGCTTTAGGCAGTTTAGTTTGTTATACTTTGAGGTCTCATACGCTCATAAAGGTATTTTCCCTTCCTCTGATTGGCCGTTGTGGTTGTGATTACATTTACTTAAGGTATTGGCTTTACTGCACTCAATCGAAAAGCGCTCTGATATTGAAACAACTACAATTATCGGAGAAATGACAATCTGGTAGTGTTCAAAACTGCATGGGTTTCTATCAACGGTAAGCAGGCCATAGTAAACCCAGGCCCAAAGCTTGTATGTGATTCAGTCATGGACTATCGGCCGCGTTGTTTTGTTTCTCTCCTCGTTCTTCAGTGTGATCCACTTCATTGAAACACAGCAAAAAAGGCTTTGACTTCTTCCTATGCGACAGTTGAAGCATTACACAGTATGTTACCTCCTCTGTGATGTATTTCTGGAGTTTATCGTACAATCGTCCTCTCATGTCATACACGTACGATTCCACTGCGTTCTTCGCAAATCCTTTCTCTTTCTCCAGCCGATCCTGCAGTACCATATGGCACTGAAAAAAAGGAAACAAGCACGTCATAAAATGATAAGAAACGCCAATATTTCTGTGTAATTCGCTGAGAACTGAATAGCAGTCAAAGAAGGGAATTACTGATCCGTTCTTGGGCGTTAAAAAAGGTTTAGCTGCTTTGGAGCTTTCAAGTTTTCTTTGAGTGCATATCAAGATCTGACAAGGAAAACGTGCCAAATGGTGTGAAACTTCTCTGAATCGTAAAAATTTCCCTTCATTTGTGTCCTTATCTGTATCAAGTCAAAATAACAACAAGATTTCGGTTTGTTACTTTCTCACGACTTGAAATTCACAAGGAAAACTTGACAAATACTGCTCTATCCGCGCAAAAGAGATAGCATCTATATCTGACCTCTTTATCTATGGCATCCTGCAACTGGGACTTTGTCAGTCCAGGCACTTCAGTTTCCACTCTCAGTTCTACTGTTTTAACTGGTTGTTTTTTCTTTTTTGCTGGCGCGCCGTTCTCTTTCTTTCCTTTGTTGTCTTTGGCGTCTTTATCTTCATCTTCCTTGTTGCTAGAATCCCCATCTTTTGTTTCTGATGTCTGTAGAAAATTGGAATACAAATGCGTTCAATACGATGTAATGCAGCTAAACTAGTGTACACTTTAATTGCATATTGTTCGTTTTAAATCAAAACTACCTCCGAGTTCATCGGCTCGTCGGCATCTTCTTTGTCTTGTGCTTCATTAGATTCCTGTGTCCCTTGGGTGTTCTAGGATAAAAGTTATTCCCATGAAGATTAACAGTAATGCACGTCCTTCGTCAGAGGACAGTTCTAAGCCCTAGGGCTTGACATAACGGCCCGCAAAAAGTCAAATCTTTGGATAACCAACATTTTATCTGGTCAAGAGGGGAGGGAAATTTTGTAGAGACGTGACGTACTGGATATTTGTCGCGCCAAAAATACATTGCCTCGCCCCCTCCCGTCTCCTTCTTTTTGACCTTTGCTCATCACATTGGTCCAAAATGTTTTCTCTCCTAGTCTTCCGCTGCTGTTAAAATCAAAGACGGCAGCTGTAATTTTCACCACGAAAATACTGAGCTCTGGCTCGCCAAAATTACACCTGTCCTGAAGGCTATAAGCCTCGAGAACAGGCAAAATCTTCATAAGTGTGGCATGTTAAATGTACAACACAGTGCAGTTACCCTTAAACAGCTGAAGTCTGATCTTGAACCCTGCAAATTACCCAGTGATGCAAGGAACGAAGACCGTTGACGCCTTACCTCGGGCGCGGCATCCCCAGCTGCTTCTTTTGTCTTATCTTCTTGTCCCTCAACTTCCATTGACTCTACTTCTGGCTCAGCGACTGCAGGTAGTTTTTCTACCAAACTTGCATTGACCACATTAAGTATACCATGGATATTCAAACGAACTTTTACTTTGATTTTTGATGATTCTCCTTCTTTATTGGGAACAACGTCTTTGATCGAGAACCGACCTAAATGAGGAAATATGCTTAGAAGAACTTCCATCTGTTTCTGGTTTTTTTTTTTTTTTTTTTTTTTTTTCCTCCCAAGGCAATGCCTTATTTTGTGGTCGATTCGTAACTGAAACTTTAGTTTTTTTGTTTGGTTCAAAAATACATCCCAGGGCTGGGACAACGTTCTGATTAACCTTTTACATCCGCCATCTGTATGCATAATCTCAATACTTTTCTCTATACATTTCTGAAGGTGCAGACAATGAGAATTTGTTTAACAATCAAGAGCTTCTTTAACAGATGATCATTTCCTTCCTTGGGGTCCTTGGTTTCTCAAAAGAAACCTCAGACTGAGAAAATACCTCAAGTTGATGAATTTTATTTAAGCCCAGAATATCCTTTATGACCCAGAAAGTTTTCACTAGAACACCATAACCGAAACACCCCATTGCAAATTTTTTGTCAACAACACTTACCAATGAAACCATCTTTTAGCGGTAGCTGTGTATTTTTCGAGTAGCTAGCTTCTAAATCAAATGGTTCTTTTCGATAAAATGTCAGCATCTTTGAGAAAGGGAAAGCATGGTTAGGAGCAAACACCTCCATCTCCCTACACAATAAAAATGCAATAAAATAATACACTCAACATAATTATCAATAATCACACACATGCTACGTATTATCATTACAGATCAATGCCAGTATCTATGCACCTGCACACCCACCCCTCCCCTGACAAAACATTAAACCTAACTTATAATCCGTTGATTGTTGTTGGATTATGGGAGGGGTAGGTGCTAGGTAAAATAACATGCTGAGGTTGAAGTGATTTTCAGTGAAGTGTTGAAGATAATCAGGCTCTGCCTTAGTTTTGCTCATTTAACATTTTTAAACCAAACACAAGTTAACAAAAAAAAAAAACAAGACAAAAAAATCAAACAAACAAACAAAAAAAAACAAAAAATAAACCCAGATATTTCCACACCAAGGGCAGTCTGATTGTTCTTACTAAATAAAAATTTTTTTTTGCTTTCATTATGACGGGCCGTTGTCACCATCAGAAGCCTAGAACCCAGAAGCATTTATGCATGTCTGAAAGCTGGGGTTTACCAGAGGCAGAGACCTACCCAATCAAAATTTACAGATCCATGGGCCAGTGAACCAATCATAACACAGTTCTACACTTCTGTCATTTATTTAATTTTTTAATTTATTTTTGCACTCAATCGAAAAGAGCTTTTGCTTATAATGGCTAAGTATAGAACTTATTGGAAAAGGAGCTGCATGATGTTTCATTTCCTGTGTTTTAACTGCTTAATTTGGTTTTATTGGTAACAACCAATAAGTTTTTTTTAATTTTTGGAGACACAGCAATATTTTAGCTCTTGAAGCAAATTCTCAATATCTTGACTCTGGTTCAACAAAATACAAAACTAGGAAAAATGTAAACAAAAACTTGTCTGTAACTTTCTAAATATATGAGCACCAAAAAAAAATTTTGAGAGTGGAATTTTTCCAACAAAATTGCACCAGCCTTTAGAATAAGTAATAAAGCAATTTACATACCCTTCATCCTCAGTGTTCTGCGACTTCCAGGTTAGGACAACTGGATATGGTGTTACATCATTGACAACAAATTCTCGGACTCTGAAGGTTGGGGATAACATGGCACACTGCAGAGCACAGCCACGAGCCACAGCTTCATCAGCATTCAGAGTGGTACTGACTTCTTTATCGAAGAGTGCCTTTATCACATCTTTGACAGCAGGAATACGGGTACTGCCACCAACAACTTCAATGGCCTCTACATCAGCCATCTTGAGCCCTACAATTAAATTTTTGAACATGATCATGAATTTGACCTTGTGCACCAACATGGAGCAGTAAAAGCAAAACATTTAAAACTTTGAATCAATCTTTAAAGTTTCAGCGTGGCTTGAATCCCACTTTCTGATTTTCAAGCAAATTACATATAGGTGACTCTTGTCAGCCAACTTAAGGACTTCAGGTCCCAGTTGTTCAAAGGGTGGTT